GAAAGTACAATTTAAAAATAAAAAAAATTTGTTTTGAAAATTTAGGTTGTTACACAAAACCAAAACCAAATTAACCGAAATACAAGAACCATTACTAAAAAAGGCGGTGTGGTTTTTATTTTTGATTAATCAAATACATATGGTTCGGTTATGATTTTCATCTAAAACTGAACCACTAAAAACTGAATCAAACCAATAATATTAATAAATATTTATTAATATAAACAATATTAGTTATATGGTATGTAATTATATTTGGAATTAAAATTTTAAAGGTTGGTTACTTGGAATTAAATATGACACCTAATCTTGTATCATATTAATATAATTATAAACACCGAATAGTTTACTTTTTATAACACTGCACTTATGTTTTTCACTTTTTATAGCAAAGTATTATTTATTTTTATCTCATTTTCGACCATTATGGTTAACCAATATTAACCATTTTGTAGAATGGCTACACACGCACCCACTACACTACTTTTATTTTATGCCTTTCGTCTCGAGCGATACTTGAACCCTCAACCTTTGGCTTAGAGGTACATATCTGACAACTCCTGATACCGCTAGACCAAAGACCCTTTGGTAACCAATATTAACCATTAACCAAAACTAATACTAACCAATATCCAATGGCTACTAAAATGTATTAACCATTTATAATGGTTATGGTTCAGTTTTAGCTAAAAACAAAACCAAACCGTCCTATACACATCCCTACCATTTATACGGATGTCAATAAGACATTATAGGTACCCACCCCCCCCCCCCCCCCCCAAAAAAAAAATCTTTTTTAGACGTTAGCCATACTATACTTAAAAAGAGTCATGAATAAACTTTTAGCCTATATTGCTCAATTAATTATAGTTATTAAAAAAATACTTTGTATAGAAGATAATAAGGATGCGAGACTTGTCACTAAGGGTGTGTTTAACACAGAGCGTTTGAGAGCTTTTAGCTTCTACTGTTTGACAAAACGTTCCGTTATGAACAAAAAGTTTCGTTTGGCACTACAAGATTTTAACGCTTAGTTAAAAAAACGATTTAAATCTATAAGTTATCTCACATAATGTTTAACAAAACATTACCTACTATCCGTTAGTTTTGCTTAACACGTCCTAAATTGTGGCCCATGTCTAATTTATAGACCATAGCGGAAGCACAGGTTCGACTTTTTTTTGGGGGATTTGAAAGAAAAATTCTCTATTAGTGGCCACCAATGAGAGTCGAACTCCCCACGTGCCCCTCAATGGGTATAAAATCTTACACCTCTTCCCCAAATGGGCTGGGCTTAGTTGGTGCTTCCACCCTATTTATCTAGGCCATTAATTAATATTCTCATTTATTTAATATCCCATTTGTTCCTCTTGCTTACTTTTTTTATTGTTATTTGTATTGGATAAATTTTTCTTTGTGAATTTATTTTTTGAAACTATAGATATATTATTTTATTTGAATATAATATTATATTTTATAGTATAAAGATGTGAGGTTCTCAGCTCTTTATTTTTAATTTTTGGCTTAGCTCCTAACTATCATTGGTAGTAGTGTGATAGTTGGTTGCTATAATATGAAAAAAAAAAAATTAACAAAATCTAGCATTGCTTTGTTTCTTTGATCATGTGTATGGATGATCATATATACGGGTTGGCAACATATGAAAACGGGTTGGGTCCGGATAACTTTAAAGCTTTCTGTTTTATAAGTAATTAATATGTTAAAAGTGATTATGAATACGATATTGTTACAATAAATTTGTTTCTTACTAAATTGAAAAAAGATTTTATGCATTTGGGTATGTTTCAAGTTTCATTGTTATTCCAATAAATTTGTTTCTTACTAAATTGAAAAAAGATTTTATGCATTTGGGTATGTATCAAGTTTCAACTCGTCATTTGATCCGTTTTTGTTTTAGTTCATTTTTGTTGTTTTATAATTACCTAACATAAATTTTTTTTTTTGACAAAATTTTCAAAATAACCCATTATTGTTCAATAGTGAATTGATCCTATGAGCCAAACGCACTATCGCCTTTTCATATCAATAACAATTTGTGTTTTTAAAAGTTCAAGAATTAAAATTACAACGAGAAAACAATAGCAAAAAATGAGCGAATTACATGAAACTCACAATACAAAGACAAAGAGTCTTGTGAAAAAAATATAAAACCAACAACACCATATAATTCTCGTAATGACAATCACGAAACATAAGGAAGATGATTATTAAGATAAATGAAACAAAAACTTTAAGCAAATGGAGTAAGATAATCATCAATCGTTGTAAACTTGACATCAGGATATAGCTCACTGGCCTCCACCCCAAATGAAGGTTCGATTTCAAAGTCGGTTGCACTTCCATTCACCAAAACTGAATGTGATATAGACAACAAAACGCTTAAACCGAACGGAGCCTCTGCAAGACAAACAATTTATTATTTTTCAACACAACAACATCACACCACTCTATATAAAAGTGTTTTGAGCCAAAACATTATAAATGCAACCTTTTACAAACTCACCTTGGATATTTTTGAGAATTTGCTCTTCGGAAACGAACGTTTTCTCAAGGGTCTTTCCAATTTTGCTTTCCCATATGGAAACAATCTCATTAAACGACAATGTGTTTCCTGGAGGTCTGAAAATCAGTATTTTATTCAAGGTACGTGGGTCGTCGACTGCTTTGATAGTAGCCAAAGCTATATCCTCTTCTTTGACAAAAACAGCTATAGATAAAAAATAAATAAATAAAATAAGTTAACAAATCATTTCCTTTTGCATTAGTGTATTGTACATTATGCATTAAAAATTGTACCTTTCGCAGATCCGTCCCCAAGGATGGTAACTTTTTCCCTAGGGGCAGTGTAGGTGTCCATTTGGCCGATGTTGGGTAGAAAATAGCCCGCAAAACCATTGCATGCTACAAAAGTATGTGGGATTCCTGCAGCTTCGATTGCCCTACGAATGTCTGCTTTTCCTTTAAAGATGCTCTTGGCAGGTTCAACCGCGGTCACATGGTCCACATCGGTTCCGAATTCCGAAGGCAAAAATCTCTATAATAAATATAATTTAATCATTTGAAGTTAGTTGTATAGTGGGTACAAAATAAAATAAACTATGATGCATGTAATAATGGGTTGGGTCATGGGTGGATTAAAAACTAAACCCATTTTGTCCAAATTCTTTATAATAATGTTTTTTTTTTATCAAATATAACTATAAAAGATATATTATTGCCACAATAAATTAATTTTAATTAAAAAGTGAAAGGAAGGTACCTTGACATTTCCAGCTTCTTTGATTGCGGCAATGATTTTGACCTGATCAGCGACGGATTCCCCACCTACTGTCGAGATCACAACATCAACTTCCTTTATTGCCTTCACCAAACTTTCATGATCATGAAGATCACCCTGAAAGAAAAAGAGTTTATATAAAAACACAATATTTTCATTTTATTTTTATCAGAAATACTTTCATAAATATATAAAAGAATCTATAAATATCCATATATAACATCATTATGATACATACAATAACAAGTTTGGCTCCAAGATTCTTGAAATTGTCTAGAAGCTTCGATTTTTCTGGATGTTTGATTGTGCTTTCTCTGGTCAAAATGAAAGTTGGATGCCCTTCTTTGGCACTTGCCTCTGCTACAAACTTTCCAATGTATCCTGTTCCTCCGATGATCAAGATCTTGCTTTTTTCTGCCATTGATATGTCGGGTTTTGAATAAGTTTTTGAAGATAAGTTGAATTTAGGGAGAAAAGAGAGATAGGTGTTGATTGATGTGAGAACAGATTGAGGGTGTTGATGTGAATATATAGAGTTTTAATGTGATTATTAAATTCAAATGTATTTTATGTACATCCCATGGTAATAACAATCATCTGAGACTTTAAGGTAGTTGTTGCATGTGGATATAGAATGAAAAAGTCCACATTGACAATGGGGGGAGACAAGTTGAATATGTTAAGAATGCATATAGCATTTGATTTCACATGTATTTATAATAGTTTTTAAAACGACAAAAGGAAAAAAAATCTTATAAATCAAACGATACTAATATTTTGTTTGTGGTTTTGAATCCTTTATTTAAAATACTTCAAAGAAAAATACTATACCGTTGGATTATAAGTCTTTTTGTATTTTGCAGTGGTTATTAATTTTTATAGGTTGTTAAATTAGTTTATATTTGATAACCTAAAAAGTTATTACAAATTTACAATTGTTAGAAAATATATATATATATATATATATATATATATATATATATATATATATATATATATATATTCTATTCAAAGTAATTATTGTGTTATTGCATGCATAAATGTGGGTCAATCAAATTTACTTATTTTAAGAAAGTGATTAATATATATTATTGAATTAAATATAATTAAAAATATCATATTAATTAATTACAAGGGTAATTTAGTCAATTAATATAGATTTAATAAAGGAAAATTGCATTTTTTTAAGGGATCATAGATTCTATTAATTTTAAAAATCCGATTTTACGTATTATAATTTTTTTAATTCGGACATTCTGACAGAATATGTTTATGAGTATATTCAAAAATAAAAATATTTTTGAAGCATAAATAATAAAAATATTCTTGAACCTATTTCTTGATCATGAATTTAAAAACTTCTTGTAGAATAACAAATCCTTGAATAATCAATTGAAGAATAAAAACAAAAAACACATTATTTCTTATAGAATACGGGTAACAATTGTTAAGAATTACATTTATTGTTAAGGAATAAAACTAAAAAACAATCAAAATGGGAAAGAAAACATCAAAATCTAACAACGATTAATACATTCTAAAATAATAATGTGGTCCGTTTCAATTTTGTGGTCTGTTCTTCAAGCATCAACATCTGTGATTCCAACAGAATTGGAATTCGTCTTTCCATTCCAATAGAATTGGAATTCGTGATTCCATTCCAATAGAATTGGAATCTCACCAATATCATCCATTGAATCATCTACATAAACACTCTTCCATTCTCTATTCTTTTCTGCATCGATTCACAATCAATATTTAATACAAAAGAAAAATCACCCCTGCATTCCTTCTCTTCTTCGTTTTCAGTCAAGAACACACCACCGAAGTGTATGTTTTCTAGTGCAAACCTGAATGAAGAGTGTCTTCAAAAGGGTCTCAGGAAAAGCAGTGATGTTGGCAGTGACAACATTGAGCTTCAAAGATTCAAAAACCTCACAAATCTTGACTATCGTGTCTCTTCTTTTCCTGCATTTCAAACTCACCAATGCTATCTTCTCTCCCACGTATGACACTTTTAACTATTAATTAACAGTTTAACACAGTCATCAATTTTGAGATAAAATCATGAGAGTACGTAAAAACAGTTCAAGACTTTGACTTACTTCAATAATTTCAATCGGAAAGGCCCTTGAATCACTTGTATCTGGAGATTGCTGAATCCTTTTCTTCTTTGATTTTTCCGTTGACATGAACACTGTGTCCTAATCAAAATCGTAAACCCCAGATTCTGATTTTTGAGACTCTAGTTTCATTATATCCTCTTCAATAATCCTCCTTTAGAGGCCGCCAACGACTGAGTTCCGTCCGGCGAACTTGAATCACAGTAGCCGGAAAATGTTTCCTCCAATCCGCCCCAACTGTATTTCAGAAATTGCAGAAGAAAACGATGGATTCAGGTTTAAACAACAAAGAGAAAAAGAGAAGATCATATGATTAGTTAATTAGTATGATTACCTATCGAATTCTTCGGTTTGGAGAAACATATTGGTCTCCCAATAGTTTTATACTCACATGCGCCGCTGCTTCGCTGCTCCTTGTCGAGAGCTCCGTTTCTAGGGTTTTGTAATTCGAGAGCAGCTTGAGCTTCGTCGTCCGACTCCGAGCCGGAATCGGAACTTGATGCAGACTGGAATAAAGGGGAAATGACGGCTGGAGGGACAAGGGTGGGGATGTCGATTTGTTCAATTTAGGGTTTTCAGAAATCGATTTTTAGATAAAGAGGGGAAGGAGATTTAAACTGGAGAGATACCATGATTATAGGGATTATTTTTGGAAGTTATTAAACAAATGACTAAATTACCCTTATTTATTTATTTAATTATTTAATTTTTTATTTAATTTTGATTGGCTCACATTTATGCATACGATAACACAATACTTAGTTTAAACAAATGAACCTAGCTCTCTCTCTCTCTATATATATATATATATATATATATATATATATATATATATATATATATATATATATACAGGAGGGTTCAATTGAGAAAAAAAAAGGTTGAGAACGGGGAAATCATTCTCAGCCAATCATTTATTTTTGCCGCAAAAGCCTCCAACGTACCGACGGAAATGGGAAAGGAATGCACATGTGTTTTCCAACAAAACATGTTTCCTTAAACTATGCTAAGCATTACCTTAATATATACAAAAACATAGTTTTTATGTTTTTTCTTAATTTTTAGGAAGCTATTTTTATCGAAAAATGATTTTAAATATACCAAAATTCATGATTTTTTATTCTCTACAAATATTGATATAGTTTTAAGATAAAATAAAAAATTTATTTTTTTTATATTTTCAGCTATCGTTATTCATAAGTGAATAAAAATGAATCAGGTTTTTACTACAGTACATTCGTTATTCACTTATGAATAAAAACTATGATTTGTTTTTTTTTTTTACAATTTAAGTATCATTCATATATGAATATAGCATATACTAAACATAGTATATTCATATTTAAATATTAGACGATGCATTCACTTGTGAATATTACATAGTATATTCACTTGTGAATGTTAGATGGTATATTCACTTATGAATATTAGATGATATTTTCATATGTGAATATTATATAGTATTACATGGTATATCACATGAGAATAGTACATAGTATATTCACTTGTGAATATTAGATCGTATATTCACTTATGAATAATAGTTGGTATATTCATATGTGAATATTGCACAGTATATTCATATATGAATATTACAAGGTGTTTTCAGAAATATATATAATTTTTATATGTTATTCACATATGAATAACATACAGACTTGCATATTTGTTTTGTGTTTTAATAATCACATATTGATTCAGGTGAGAAAACATATTCATATGTGAATATAACGTGGTAATTTAGTTTATGCATTTCATCAAACAGTTGGAGTGCATACAAGTTAACTTTTTAAAAAATGTGATAAATATGTTACTTTGACTATTTAAATCTTACAAAATAGTAGATTGGTAGAGAAATATATGAAAATTTTCAAACAAAAAATGATTTAATCTTTTTCTAACCTTAATTTCGATGTTTTATTTGATGAACGATGTTGAATGAATGATACGAATTGAATTTTTTGTTGATTATCGATGATGTTGTTCTAATGATGTTGGGAGTATAATTAATCGTAGATGTTGAAGATATGTTCATATTCAAGCAGAATTGAAGGTTGGATTGAAAGAGCAAAAAATGAATGAATTTCAACTATTATCTAATTCTCTACACTTACGTATTTGTGATTGAAGGCTATTATATCATATTTACAAGTTTGTCATCGTGTCCTTTATGTTTAGAGGCTAATTAAATGAGTGACTGAGAATGATTCTCCCATTCTCAACCTTTTTTATTTTCTCAATTGAACCCACCTATATATATATATATATATATATATATATATATATATATATATATATATATATATATATATATATATATATATATATATATATATATATATATCTATATATAAAGTAATACAAAATACATAAAAATAAACAATTCTTCAACGGCGTAAGTGTAATTCTCAATACTTTAGTTTAGGGTAGTTACCGTGTCGTTTTCATCCGGTTTTTATTAAAGCTTAAACTTAAAGTATCCCCTTAATAGCTTTCATCAACACATCTCTTGCTTTGCGATTTTTGATTAATCTTTGTTTAAATATGATACTAAATGATGTTGAAATGTTGGGCTTATTTTAATTAATAGAATATGATAGGTATGTTTCAACATAAAATAATTCATATGATATATCATAAATAAGAAAATACTTTAAATTATTGGAAAAAATATGGTTTTGGAGAAGTTGGTGATTTTAGAACTTTTCCTTAAAAGCAGTCTAGGTTAATGATATTATTCATATTGTCACCAAACACTTTTATTCTTTTATTTTCTGCTATTTTCTTCTTTGCACTTTTAAAATTGTAATATAAAATATTAAATTCAAAGCTTTTGTTAGTGTTATTTTATTTATCAAGAAATTTATCTATTAAAATATTTGTGGAGGAAGGTGAATGTCAATCACCAATAGGTCCTTTGAATGTTGAGTTTGGAGAATTACAACATGGAGGCTTGTGTTGGTGATTTTAGTATCATTAAGCAGTGACGAATCTAGGATTCAAACTCACGTGTGTCCCATTATAAAATAAATGAGTCGAAAATTTTGGTTATGAGTCGGTTTGTCGATATACTTTGATCAAGGTGTTTGTTATTCATCGTTTTGTTGTTGGTATCATGATCATACCATAAGGAGCTTTTTTCACCTTTTTATGTAAATTTTTAGCATCATGCCAAAAATAATAAAATAAATAATTACAAATCTATATAAATCATCAAAAACAAATACATATACACTATCAATATATATCTATAATATAAATAAAGCATCTAATTTAAACAAATAATATATATAAAAAATCACTTAAAAAAAGTATAATAAAACAAGAAGAGTGCCTTTTTTTTGTTTCATTTAAGCTTTATTACGTTATATATGTCGGAAGTATTATTTAGTACAATTTTAGTGAAGTAAATTAAAATGATAATTACATCTGTTCATTATAGAAAGCAATAAGAGACGTGTGATGCCTGACATATGATCACAAAAGCAATGATAGGTTTAGACTTTAGACTATGACTTTTCTAGTTTGTAGGTAGACTATGCTTTTTTTTTCCTTTAATTGCTTTACAGTCCATATCGACCATATCCACTGCTACAAGAAATTTAACCTTAAGTCCTAAAAGAAAGAAAAGAAAGACTTACCCAAATAAAAATTGAATAGAGGAGAAGCAACGCATGTTTGTGGTTGCAGTGTCGGCGATAGATGGTCCAGTCCGGTCGGATGAAGGTGGGGATGGTATCTGGTACGAGTGGCGAAGAGCAGGTGAGAGACGACCAGTAGTCTAAAACTATGACCCCAAGACATGTTGAAGACAACCTGCGGTCACTGGAGATCGAGACAGTCGGAGTCGTTATTGTCGGCGACACCAAAAAATTAGCGGCGGCCGGAAGGCGGCAATTCGGTTTTTGGAAGACAAAGGGCACTCGAAAATCATAATTTTTTAGGTTTTTGTTTTCCACTTTACTAATTTTCTACCCTTTACAGTTTATAGATCGATCTGAGCTTGCAATATTCTTTCTTATTATATATTTGAAAAATATTTTGTTTACTTAACAAACTCCTAAATTTCTGCTCTTGAATTTTTTTGTAAGTTTTAAAGATTAATAAGAAATTGCGATTGACAAATGTGATAAATCAAATCAAAATATTGTATTATTTATTCTTTTGTGTTACTGTATCCAAGGGTGTCCGGACTTTTTCCCAACAGGTGTCCCATGGAATTTATCGTTATATCTTGTAAATAAAATTTGAGATTTAGGGGTGTCCATGGACACCCTTTATAACACTGTACACTCGCCCCTGTCATCAAGTCATTTTAGTAGGAACTTATAGATTACCAGTAGAGTTTATATCATTGATTTTATTACAAGTTAGGAGGTGCGGAGTGCATACTTGTATAAAACAAGTTTGATCTATGTTCGACCAAATGGTAGGGTCAAGGGAGCTATGCCCCCTTGCTAGCGGGGTCCAAGGGGCAGTGCCCTCCCTTATATTTAAAATATATTCTCCACAATTATCCTTGAAACCGTTATCCCTCATTTATGGGATAAAATCAATATTTAATGTTGATTGATACTTATCTTTGATAATCAGAAGCATTTGAATCCTATATAAACCCTAGTTCGTGGCCTCTTATTAGTGCCTTGAGACGATACTATTCCTTGTAGGATTATCCCCATAATCTGGATTTGTGTAACCTAGGCATAGAGTCAAAATATCAGATTTGAAAATTTTCACACGGTCCTTCAAAAAGATCCAAGCTCACATCGATTTCAGAAACCCTCGTCTTATCTCAATTCTAACATTCAAATATGATATTATGTTTCTATTTCTGAAATCATGAGTGAGTCGGTGAAAGAGATGACTTCCAAGCTCAACAAGTTGGAGAAGTTCCAAGGAAACGATTTCTATCGCTGGCAGAAGAAGATGCAGTTTCTATTGACCACTCTGAAGGTGGTTCATGTTCTGAGCACTCCAGCACTAGAAGCACACGCATATTAGGGGAACAGACAAGATACTGATGCACGTGGGAGAATGATGACTACATCTATAGAGGCCACATTCTTAAT